TAATATGCTAATGAGTTCCTGCTGTTGGGTGTGGCCTATTATGCTAATGAGTTCCTGCTGGGCTTTTTCTACAAAAAGAGCCCTGTATAACTCCTTGTGCTGAGTCAGCCTTGCAGTATCCCTACATGTGTTTCTGCTTGTGCAAGATCTTGTGCAACTAATTTCTGGACACTATACTAGAAAGGGAACAAAGCACTAGATGCTGTGTCAGATCTTGTGGAAGATCTTGTGCCGGCAGAACGGAGTGGAGTTTGTTAACGTTTCCCGGCTTCCCTGGTGGCAGGCCAAAGACTCAGGAGCTCTGGGTTCCAATTGAACCACAAAGTTTGCTGGATGACTTTTAGGCCAGTCAACCTGTCAGCCTGACCTACCTCACAGGGTTGTTGTGAAGATACAATGGAGAGTCCTACGTATGCTGTTCTCATTGGAGGGAGGGAAAGGAGATAAATAGATGCAATACAATTGATTTGATCCTGATAGCTCTTCTGCTAGTGAAACACGTTGGGAGGGGCCATCTAAAAAGCTGTGCTGGCGATTCGGGGATAGAAATCTCTGTGGGGTGGGGGCTGCAGCGAGGAGGAGGGAATGGGGGGGGATTGAGCAGGAGACTATGTTAATGTCCAACCCTATGTTTGCATTCTGGGAGCATATGCTCCTTACAAAGTATATTATTGGGCTGCTGTGCATTCTGGTATTGTGAAATCTGGGGTGTCCAGAGAGCTTGTTTGGTGTAGTGCTTTGAGTGTTAGTCTTGGACGGGAAAGGGCCTGGGTTCAAGTCCTGACGGAGGCTATGGCTCTCTCTCTGCGTGACCTCGCACACTCTTTTCCAGCCTAGCCTATTTATCAGGGCTGTTGTGAGGGGGACTACTGGATAAGGCTCTCCACATACTCCCTCCTGAATTCCTTGGGGGGAAAGATGGGATTTATAAACACGAAGACTGAACACTTCACTTCCCGAGAAGCACAGTATTCAGGGTTTAAAAAAAATATTTTCAAGCGCATTAAACAGATAAGTTTGGAAACTGGGCAGACAATTCCTGGTGAGATCTTAGAAGCCAGCCCATGTGTGTACAGTAGGGTTGCCAGCTCCAGGTCGGGGAAAATCCTGGACATTTGGGGGGTGGATATAGTTGCCAACCTCCTGGTGGGGCCTGGAGATCTCCCAGTATTGCAACCGATCTCCAGACTACAGAGCTCAGTCCCCCTGGAGAAAACGGCTGCTTTGGAGGGTGGTCTCTGCAGCATTATTACTCTGCTGAGACCCCTCCCTCCCTCCCCGGGCTCCACCCCCAAATCTCCAGGTATTTCCCAACTCAGAGCTGGCAACCCTGGGGGCAGAACTGGAGGACTGCAGGGTTTCAGGGAGGGAAGGGACCTCAGAAGGGTATAATTCCATACACCCCACCCTCCAAATAGAGTTGCAAGTTCTGGGTTGGAAAATACCTGGAGATCGGAGGTGGAGGGTGGAGCCTGAGGAGGGCGGGGTTTGGGAAGGGGAGGGACTTCAATGGGGTGTCATGCCATAGAGTCCCCCTTCTAAAGCGGTCATTTTCTCCAGGCAAGATGATCTCTGTCAGCCGGGGATCAGTTGTAAGCAGGTCTCTTTTTTGTAGAAAAAGCCCAGCAGGAACTCATTAGCATAATAGGCCACACCCAAAAGCAGGAAATCATTAGCATATTGGGCCACACCCCTGACAGCACAGCTCATTAGCCCATTAGGCGCACCCCCATGTTGCCAGAAGTGTGGTCATCCAGCCACACCCACCTTTCCCTTCTTATTCTGTTTACCTTGTTTGTTGTCAAAAGGGCTTTTTTTGTAGCAGGGACTCCTTTGCATGTTAGGCCACACACCCCTAATGTAGGCAATCCTAATGAGTTCCTGCTGTTGGGTGTGGCCTATTATGCTAATGAGTTCCTGCTGGGCGTGGCCAACTCGGGAGCCAGCCGGAACTCCGTTCCTGTGCGTTCCTGCCCAAAAATAGCCCTGGTTGTAAGCCCAGGGGATCTCCAGCCACCACCTGGAGGTTGACAACCCTACCTCAAACCAGCCATTCTCCCCCCCCCTTCAGTGGGACTGATCTCTGCTGTCTGGAGATCAGTTGTAGCTCTAGGAGATCTCTGAGTCCCACTTGGAGGTCAGCAGCCTTAGCAGTGCACAAGCATGTTTTTCCTGGAGTCCGAGTACAAAATTTGAACACCCACATGCTGTTTCCCTCCTTCTCCTTCGAAGATCAAAAGCGGATCGATATATGCCAAGATTTGCTTAAGTGGCATAACCTGCATAGGTTTCACTTGTCTTTTTGGCACAGAATTCTGAGGGTTTTTTTAAGAAAGCCTTGGGAATGGTCAACGTGCCCTTCAGGAGGAATATTCGACTGACGTCCCCTTTTTCTCCTTTCTGGTCCAGGTACAAACCCCGCGAGAAGCTGAAAGTTAATTTTGGCACGCCGGAATTCTTAGCTCCCGAAGTGGTGAACTACGACTTTGTGTCGTTCCCCACGGACATGTGGAGCGTGGGCGTCATTGCGTACATGCTGTGAGTAAACTTTCCCAGAGAGCAGGGGCGCAGTCATGACAACAGAGCCTCTGTAAGATGATACTTCACACAGCCAGGATGCTGAAAGTTACTCCAGAATGGCATCTGGACCACGAGGGAGCAAATAAGCGGGGGGGGGGGGGGGGGTGATATGGGTTTACATGTTAGAATACAGCAATAGCAAAGCTATGTTCATCAGCATATTCTCTTCTGCATGCCTACAGCTCCCTGCCTAAAGAAAGGTAGCCTGGCATTTCTATGTGCAGGGGCATTTGAAGTTCCTCCCTGCTATGGGGATTACATTTCTGGGACATTGTTGTTAAGGATTTTTTACTGCTGTTTACTAGTTTAGGATCTTTAAGGCTGTCATGACATTAATTTTAGTTATACAACAAGTTTTGAGTCCAGTGGCACCTTTAAGACCAACAAAGGTTTATTTAAGGCATGAGCTTTTGTGTGCAAGGCACACTTCCTCAGGTACATTGAAATGGAAGCTAACAGTTCATATATATGGGCAGATTACCTCTACATAGGCGAGCAGCAAATTAGCATACAACTCCATGAAGATGTTGTAACATATGCAAATTTTGATTATGTTGATATTAATTCATCTAGATATTTGTACCTCACATTTCTTCCCAGTGGGCCCCAAAGCAGATCACAGTATCATTCAACCCTCCTCTATTTTACCTTCACAACAAAGCCCCCATTGATGTAGCTGAGGCTGAGAGAAAGAGAGTGACTAGTCTCAGGTCACCAAGTGAACTTCTGTGGCAGAGTGGGGATTCGAACCTGGATCTCCCAAACCCTAATCCGACACCCTAAGCAATGCCCCACAGTGGTCCTCAGTATTGTTGGGTGGATGGTTTAACTCACAGAGAGATGGCCAATAATCGTTTTAAATATTTACTTCTTACCTCCTTTAAGGGCTGTGCTCACAGTGTTAGTAGCTAAAGAGAAAGTTACCCCCCCAATGACTTAGGAAGCAATCTTAAGAATGCCTGTCAAGAGGTAAGCCCCTTTTATTCAGTGATGTTCACATCCAGAAGAATGTTCTTAGGATTGCAGCCTTAATCATGAATAGGGTGAGACTACCAGATGGGTAAACTCTGGTGAGGCCAGGTGGTTGAGGGACTAGGATTTGGGCTGGGTTCAAACACCCAAGTCTGCCAAGAAGTTTACTCATCGACCTTGGACCTTCACTCTCTCTCAGCCTAAGCTACCTCACAGGATTGTTGTGAGGATGATCATGAAACAGAGAAGGGAGAACCGTGCATGCCACACTGAGCCCCCTGAGGAAAGGGGAACGGGGGGAATAACAATGCAGGTGGAGTTGGATTATTGTCGTTTTCAGGGGTCATTTCATTGAAAAAGAGGTGCAGGAGCTCATTAGCATAACTTATTCTGAGGGCTGCTGGGAGCAGGGGGCGGGGCTTGTTGCATGTGCCCGCCCCCTGGGCTCCTTACTGCCGGAGCTCCGCTCCTGTGCGCTCCTGTAGGAAATGACCCCTGGTCGTTTTTGACGGCCCCTCTTTTATAAAACTAGAAATGTTCCTGTGCCTAAAAACAAGCTCTTGTTTGTTAAAAACAAGTTGCGATGGCATAAATGAGAAAGACCTAGTTGGTGGGAGGGGCCGCATTGGATCAGTCGTACAACATCTGCTTGACATGTAGAAGGTCCCACGTTCAATCCCCGGCATCTACAGTTCGAAGGATCAGGTCGGAGGTGAGACCCTAGAAAGCTGCTGCCAGTCACAGTCGGCAAGACTGACCTTGGTGGAACAATAGCCTGACTCAGCAGAAGGCAACTTCATGTGTTCAAAAAGGGTGAGGTCTACTTAGAATTCGACTTTGGTCTATTCAGTGGGTCCCAGGAAAATGTTTTTAGGATTGCACCAACAGTGTTCCAGGTGGGTTACGAAGTTCACTGGTCTTACCCTGCCTGTGAGTCCTTTGGGGACCTTCTAACTTTCCGCTCAGCTAATGAATCTTTGACAAAATATTGCCTGCCAGAGTTATGTTACACACAAGAACAAGCATCTCTATACAGGATCTTCCTTTGACTGTCTCAGGCTCAGTGGTCTATCGCCTTTCCTTGGAGAAACGGACGCAGAGACGATGAATTACATTGTGAACTGTAGCTGGGATTTTGATGCAGAAGCGTTTGAGCAAGTGTCAGAAGAAGCAAAAGACTTTGTGTCAAGACTCCTGGTGAAGGAAAAGAGGTACAGAGGCTCTTCTTCAAAATTATGTTCAGAACAGGTTTTCCTTGCCCCCTCCCCGTGCCCCTTCACAAAGTCCTGGTTGAATTATTCAAGCCTTGTGCTGTCTTTTCTCACAATATTTTGCTCTGTTGTCATACTACGTTTTTTCTAAGCAAAGTGCATTGTGGCAGTTTTGCAGCACTTTGAGCCAGCAAGATATGCCCTGCTTTCAGGCAGAGCCAGGTGCTGATTTTCAATCTCATCCTCTCAGGAGGAGCTAGGCTGAAAAGACAAGGTGTCATAAGACTAGTGTTCTGTTTTTTGCTCCAGTCCGTGTTTTCCTCTGGTCTTTCCAGATAAGGGTGCTTTTTTGGTAAATAAAGAGGTCTGCTATTCCTATGACACAATGGAGTTCTAGGCTCCATGAGAACTGAGTGCATGCCCTGAGGCAAAGGTGATAATAACCCTTCAGCTCTTAAAGAGGCCTGGACCAGAGTTGTAGAGTCCTTCCTAGGTCCCACCTGACTTATAGGTAAGATCTGGTTTATACCCACCATTTCTGTCCAGGGATTCTCAGCCTTGTGATATTTTCCCCTTGCAACTTGTTCACACATGCATAGACCCCATGTGATTTCTCTGTTTATGCTTCAAGACCGGCACCTGGATCTATAAATGAACTCCACTGGAAGTCTATTGTATTTGAAGTGATATGAAAGCAGTTTGGGAATTCCCTGGTGTGTTACAGTGGCGATGGCCCATTCACATACACGGAACATCACTTGTCACCAGTGTTCCGTCTAAGCTGAGTTAGTGTGAGCTAGCTCACAGTTTTTTAGCCTCTGGCTCACACATTTTTCTCTTAGCTCAGGAAGGACGGCTCCAGAGCAAACTCATTTATGCAGCAGCCAAATCGCTCACTCACAACTTTAATGCCAGTAGCTCACAAAGCAGAACTTTTGCTCACAAGACTCCACAGCTTAGAGGGAGCATTGCTTGTCACATGTGTGAATCAATCCAAGGTGTTGGGCAGGTGGCAGGAAAATTTCAATTCCTCGAGCTGGCAGCCCCCGAATGATCTCTTCCCATCTGCCTTTCCATCTCCTGTCAGCATGTCACTGGGTTCCAAAATAAGCAGACCGTTTAGCAGAAAACGGCTGCTGTTTCTTTCCAAAGACTCAACGCAGTGGAAAGAAGCAGCAATGACCGTGTTCCAGGCTGCCTGTCCACCAATCCTCTCCCTTCCTCATTTTCACAGCGGCAGGATAAGCGCAGCAAATTGCCTGAAACATGAATGGCTGGCGGACCTTTCCGGCAAAGCCCAGAAATCCAGGGTCCGCTTGAAGTCCCAGCTGCTGCTGCAGAGTTACATGACCCACAAAAAATGGAAGGTAAAGGTGACATTGACTTCTTGCTTTTAGTACGGTCCGGCTTGGGAAATCCCTGGAGTTTTGGAGATGGTTTCGGGGTAGGGTGGGGAGAGGGCGGTGGTTGGTGAGGGCAGCGGGATTGCTAGCGTCCAGGCCAGGGCTGAAGATCCCCTCAGTGTTCCCCCTAAGCTGAGTTAGTGTGAGCCAGCTCACAGTTTTTAAGCCTCCGGCTCACACATTTTTGCCTTAGCTCAGGAAGGACGGCTCCAGAGCAAACTCATTTATGCAGCAGCCATATCGCTCGCCCACAACTTTAATGCCAGTAGCTCACAAAGCAGAATTTTTGCTCACAGGATTCCACAGCTTAGAGGGAGCATTGCCTGGGATGACAACTGATCTCTAGACTACTTAGATGCCTTATTAAAAAATACTTATTCCAGGGCTCTTTTTGTAGAAAAAGCCCAGCAGGAACTCATTAGCATAATAGGTCACACCCAACAGCAGAAACTCATTAGCACATTAGGCCACACCCCTGACAGCACAGCTCATTGGCATATTAGGCCACACCCCCATGTTACCAGAAGTGTGCTCATCCAGCCACACCCACCTTTTGCTTCTCATTCTGTTGACCTTGTTTGATGCCCAATGGCTGCTTTGGAAGGTGGACTGTACTGCATTATACCCCACTGAGGTCCCTGCCCTCCCTAAAGCCCACCCCTCCCAGGCTCAGATCCCCAGGTGTTTCCGAACCTGGAAACCTTAGAGGGCAGGGAGGTCAGCAGGGATGCGATGCCAGAAGAACCCACCCTCCGAAACTGCCCTTCTCTCCAGGGAAACTGGCCTTTGCGGTCGGGAGATCAGCTGCAATTCCATGTGAACTCCAGGGCCCCCCCTCCCCGAGGTTGGTAACTCTAGTCTGAGCGCTGCAACATTTAGTCAGTGAATTGACTGAAATCATTAGAAGAAGGCTGGAAGCCAGGGCTATTTTTGAGCAGGAACGCCCAGGAACGGAGTTCCGGCTGGCTCCCGAGTTGGCCACGCCCAGCAGGAACTCATTAGCATAATAGGCCACACCCAACAGCAGGAACTCATTAGGATTGGCTACAGTAGGGGTGTGTGGCCTAACATGCAAAGGAGTTCCTGCTACAAAAAAGCCCTGGGTTTTGACAACAAACAAGGTAAACAGAATAAGAAGCAAAAGGTGGGTGTGGCTGGATAACCACACTTCTGGTAACATGGGGGTGTGGCCTAATGTGCTACTGAGCTGTGCTGTCAGGGGTGTGGCCCAATATGCTAATGAGTTCCTGCTGGGCTTTTTCTACAAAAAGAGCCCTGCTGGAACCTATCATGCTTCAGCCGGTGGCAGGGTTGGCAATGTTGTGTTGGCACTTGCCAGTTTGGTGTAGAAGAGAAGAGAGATTGGATATTTACCCCACCCTCATACCCTGCCACCAATTTTGTTAGGCTTTAAGGTGCTACTGGACTCTTGCTCTTTTTTACTGCTGTCTTCTGTAGAAGAGGAGATTGGATTTATACCCCGCCCTTCCCTCGGAGTCTCAGAGCGGCTTACAAACTCCTTTCCCTCCCCCTCCCCACAACAGACACCCTATGAGGTAGGTGGGGCTGAAAGAGCTCTGACAGAAACGGCTCTTTTCAAGAACAGCTCTGACAGAACTATGGCTTGCCCAAGGTCATCCAGCAGCTGCGAGTGGAGGAGTGGGGAATCAAACCCGGTTCTCCTAGATTAGAGTCGCGCACTTAACCACTACACTTAAGAGCGGCAAAAGAAGACACCCTGTGGACCTGCAGGGCCAGCTGTCATGTAGTAGTTAAGAACGATGGACTCTAATCTGGGAGAAGTGGGTTTGATTCCCCACTCCTTCACATGCAGCCAGCTGGGTGACCTTGGATCAGTCACAAGTTCTTTCAGAGCTGTTCTCTCAGGAGCAGTCCTTGAGAGAGCCCTCTCAGCCCCACCTACCTCACATAGAGTGTCTATTGTGGGGAAGGGAAGGGAAAGGAGATTGTCAGCCACTCTGAGACGCCTTCAGATAGTGAAGGGCGAGGCTATAAAACCAACTCCTTGTCTTTAAAAATCTGCACAGCCAATCAGTTGTCCCGTGGTCTGCTGAGAAAAGCCCCACCCAGTTTCTAAAAACACCCAGTGGGCACCAGAAAAAGTATCAGTTGGCACCAGGGGCACCATACTAGTGTACCAACCCAACTCTCAAAAATGGCCCTCGTGCCACGGCTGTTCTGCCGGACCTTACATTTGCCAGCCCTACACCAAATCAGCTGTGTGCGGTTTGGGTGCTGAAAGCTCGTCCTCTGTGCATTAGAGCTGGCCTTTCTTCTCCCAGGTCACTCTTCTTCTTTCTTGGGGTTCCAGCTGCCCTACAGTAACCCCAGAAAAGGAGTGTTGGCAAAATAAGGAATTTGCTCTATAAAGAAATGTCACCGTTTCCCCTGTGGGAGGACTGAAGTATCACTCTTCATGGCCAGAATAACAAAGATCGGACAGCTGCCGTTTCCCCCCTTGATCATGTCAACACCCTGAATCCTCAAAAGGTTGCCACGATCCGTAGGGCAGCTACACTTAAGCGGATGACACACTGGCTCTTGGACCGAGTTCCCAGCAAGTTAGAGATGTGATTAGAAAGCCTCCTCCAGGGCTGAAAGACGGGATACAACTGGACAAATAAATAAAATAGATTCCTTCATACAAAAGGAATCGGCACGGCCCAAAATAGCCACTTTCTGGAGCGGAACTGCAGGAATCTTTGGAGATTGGTTGGAACGGCAAGCATTTACAAGCCTTGTGATTTGCAGGAATCAGCTAATGCTTTGTTTCTTTAAGATATTTATACCCCAGATTGCTTCCCAGTGGGGTGGGGACCCAAAGCAGCTTATTCTCTCTTCCTTTGTTTTAGCCTCACAACATCAGCCCTGTGAGGTAGATTAGGCTGGGGTGGGTGTGTGACGGGCCCAAGGTCCCCCAGCAAGGTTTAGTGGCAGAGCGAGGCCTCTCAGCTCCTAGTCCAACGCTCTAACCACTGCACTCCACTACCTCTGAGGTGGAACCGGCACCAGCCCCTCAGGGATCAATTTTTGTTGTTGTTAAGTTGCATCCAACTTATGGCAGCCCCATAGAGTGTTCAAGGCTAGAGACGCCCAGAGATGGTTTGCCACTGCTTGCCTCCACCTCATGACCATTATTCCTTGGAGGTCTCCCATCCAAATGCAAGCCAAGGCCGGCCCTGCTGAGCTTCAGAGGTCAGGCTAGCCCGGACTATCCAAGTCAGGGATAAACAATACCCTTTAAGTAGGACACAGCAAATGGGAATCAAACTGAACGTCAAGGACTGCTCGATTCAAGTCCAGTAATAATAACAACAATATCTTTTGATTGATTAATCACTCAATCCTGCAGAGCTGCTGGCTGTGAGCGATTGACAGTTACTCATATACACACGGGACTAACAATGATTCATAGGGGGTAAGGGAGGACAACATATAAATCTTTTAAGTCGCACACGTTTGCAGCCGACGGGGATTTTGTTCAGCTGTAGCCTCAGAGGCTGGACCCTAGAGGTGTTCCAGACGGCATTCACTCGGCTTGGCTTGATGACGTCAGTTCTTCCAGGACTGCTTCGAGTCTCAGCGCCACACTGCCACCGCCTGGCCGGATTGACTCATCGCAGGCTTCTTAATGCCGAAGAGATCTTTCCAGGCTTCCGAGCTGGACATTCCGTTTCGCCGGCTAACATTTTCCCCCACCGAGGGGGCTTAGTGTGCCCACCCTCTCTATGGAGTGGTACCCATATTATCTACTCGCCGAAGCTTTCGTACCGCTGGGTGGACGGCGAGTTGGGAACAAGGCTGGTAGCTCACACCAGCGCGGGCTAGAACTGACAGTTCAGTTCAGTTCAGATGTTACTGTAACCAGAGGATAAATCCTCTGTGCCACCGCTCCCCATAGTAGCATCTTAGAGACCAACAAGATTTTCAGGGCACGAGCCTTTTAGAGTCAAAGTTCCTTTCATTGGTATCTGACAAAAGCTCTTACTGTGAAAATCTAGTGGTCCCTAAGGCGCTACTGGACTTGAATTAAGTTGGTCTACTGCAGACCAACACGGCTATCCTTTGAGCATTCAGGAGTTGGTGTATCGCCCCTAGGCACAAGGGTCACCTTGAATGCATGCCTGAAATCAATGCATCATTGGTATATAGATCATAAATGTCTTGCTAAATAGGTTGGCTTGTCATGTTTATTACTTGTGGCTTAGGGTGTGTTTGATGATAATGTCACATAAGCAGTGGCTGGTAGTGGACTGAAGGTGAAGCACTGTGCTAGCGGAGTACGACCTTGGAACTGACTAGGGATGTGCAAAAAAAAAAATCGGTATGATCAGGTTTAGGTATATGGCACCCCCAAAATATCGGTATTTCCCAGTATTCCTAAATCCCAATAACGGTATGGTATTCAGATTCAGTAAATATTCAGGAATCCCAACTTTTTCTGGCTCAATTATACCCTACCTATGGGGACCAGTAGAGTCAATGGTCCCCATAGGGCAGTGATGGCAAACCTTTTAGAGACTGAGTGCCCAAACTGCGACCCAAAACCCACTTATTTATCGCAAAGTGCCAACACGGCAATTTAACCTGAATACTGAGGTTTTACTTTAGAAAAAACAACTCATACATTAAGTTAAGATATTCCAAACAAAGTAAAGAAAGCAATCCCAAATGCTTTCACTTACTTAAAATTATTTGGCAGAGAATTTGACACTTTAATGATGGTCTGGGCCTGGCTGGGGCGATGGTACGCGTGCCCACAGAGAGGGCTCTGAGTGCCACCTCTGGCACCCGTGCCATAGGTTCGCCACCACTGCCATAGGGTATAATGAAGAATCAATCTGCTGGTATCTGAGGGAGCTGTTTTTTGAGGTAGAAGCACCAAATTTGCAGCATAGCTGTAGTGCCTCTCCTCAAAGCCCCCAAGTTTTTTTAAAAAAAAAATTGGACCAAAGGGTCCAATTCGCCTTCTAAAATTCCCCCACATAAATAAATAAATAAATAATGGGTTTCAATGAAGGACAGAAAGGAGTTTAAAGGGATTGCGGTCCCTTTAAACGCCCTTTAGCTTCAACTATCTGGTGGTCCTGATTTGGGCTTAGCCATTTTGAATAGCCCAAATTCAGCCCCAATCTATATCCAGCTGAGAGAATATCTGGAAAATACCGGTAAGGTATTTTTCGGCTCAGATTTAGTTGAATGCATACCCCTAGGACTGACCGCCGCTTATGCTACTCTGGCTCTCAAAATAACACCCCACTTGTCTCTCTTCTTTTGCAGAAGCATTTCTACGTGGTTGCCGCCGCCAACCGACTAAGGCGATTCCCAAGTCAGTCCGATAACCCCGCATAGCCTGCGCCAGGAGAAAAACCAATGGACTTGACCAATTTTAGCTAAAAGTCCTCTTCTTCCCCATCCGACAAGTCCTTTTTCTTTTCCATCTCATTAGCCCCAAGCACGCTCAAGTCTTTGCCTTCAGACCTAACCGGATAGAACGGGACTCTCTGCCTCTCTTGAATGGAATCAATTCCTCTTTGACAAATTATCACAGGAAAAGAAGCTCGAAGTATGCCGTACGCCTTCGTTTCTCTAATTACACTTTCCCCCCCATGAATGAAACTAAGAACGTCATCCTGGTTGTGAACTTTAGCATATGGTGGGAAGGTATCCTTGAAAAATGGAAGACAATTCCTACCATAATTTTGCTGGGATGTTCTCAAATATTCAGTGAAAACAGCACGCGGGATACAACAGAAGAGATCTGCTCTTCTTGGCACCCGTTTGTCCCCTAGGTATGCTTTGTCCCTGCTTTCATTTGCCCACGCTGACCCAGTCCACTGCAGCAGGGTCCCCCCACCCTTGTTGAGCCTGCGGGCAGTATTGTAATTTTGGTGGCACAATGCTTTGTCAAAAAACAATTTGGGATGTGTTGACATTGTGGACTAGCAGCATGAGAGCAGAATTAAACATTGACCTCTGATATTTGCAAAAAAAACCCCAGGGAATGAACATGTACAATTTAAAAATTTTATTATTGTTTCTGTAGAAGAGGCAACTCTCCTGCTAAGACAAGCTAAAAAACACACCAGGAAGATGGAAGGTTTAAGACAATGCATCACGTTTAAAATGTAGTCTGTAGTTGTTCAAAGGCTAAAAATGTACGGTTGAAAATTCTCTCGTGTCAAATGCCACTCTCCTTTCAGACTCTGAAGTCTTTGGAGAGAGCTAGACAGGATACCTGCATACTTGGTTCTTGCATTCACATCTGAAGACAAAATACAGTACTGAGTTCTGATTCTAAGCCTCTTAAATGGAAACCAGTTCCACTGAAGACAACAAACTTTACTTCCACGCAAGCATAGTTAGAATTTTTGACACAACATTTGCTTTCTAAGCGGGGTGGGTGGGTTTAAAGTTAATTGAATAGGACCGAATCCTAAATTTGGCAATGTGTTCTAGGCTGAACATTGCGCATCTGGTCACACAGGAATCAGTTTGCTTAAAGCAGCAGAAACTTGAGGTACTTTGAGAAGTGTCTGTGAGGGTTTCAAAAATAAAATAAGGTGGTTTTTTCAGGTGTTAAAAGGTTTGTCCAGGTAATTCGTATTGGGGGACACACACACACATACATAGTTCTAGTCTTCTTTACAACAGACAACACAATATCCAAAATCCCAATGATGCGGGACCGCACCCATCTGGGGAAGATTCTGCGAAACCAGCACTTTAACAAGTCTTTAAAATCAGGTGACATAAAAGCGTATTAGAAGTTAAACCCCAGAAGCTGGCTGCGTTCCGAGACGCTCAGATCCAACGTCGTCCTGCTGTGATTTAGCGGCATTTTCCAGAATCCTCCGTTTCCATTCTTCGTAGTCGTCTTCCGGTGCAGCTGCCCTTTTCGGACGCTTGCAAGGCATCCTGACTTCAGCTCCAACAGCTGTCGTGGAAAAAGAGACACCAAAAAGCCCCTCTTATGCAGTTGCAGCTGTAAGACCAAACGCAACCGACTTAGCCGCCAAGACCCCCCCAAGAACATCCTTCACCTACTTCGTCGTTCTGTTCTGTCCGTAGGGGGAGTTAAAATGAGCAACTGAGTAGAATGAGCTCAGGCCACATAATGTAGGTGCTGTATGGGTGTTTGCTACTGGAGGAGGTTGGTTTGGTGTGTGTAAAGACTTGCTGACCAGGACGAGCTGAGAAAACTTAGCTGCGTGCATACTGGAGAAGATGGGTTTCAATTTATGCCATGGGCCTAATGAAGCTTTGCTGGGAAGGAATTTTCAACCCTTGGGGTAAACCAGAGGACTCCAGCATAGCTTAGAGCTTCTTTGTAGGCAGCTTGGTTCCTAGGAGAGCCTGCCTTACCGGGTGATGCAAGCAGAGTAGTCCAGCTGCTGACACTTACCGCCTTCCTTATCACAGCGTTCCTGTAAAGTCTTCTGGGGTTTTGTTTCCTCAGCTGTCAGCTGAACGTTTTCTCCTTTGGAGAGAAAGAGGACAAACTCCTTACAGGGGGGGTTTATGATACCCCAGACTTCAGAACAATAGCTCACCCCTGTTCGAAAGGTCTTGTACCAATTGTTATGAATCGTTTTTCTCCATCAATACCCTAGTGGCTGCCAATCCAAAGCGAATGGACCATCGGTGGGCGGCTTCAGTATATGGCAGCTTCAGATCAGCCCCATAGCCAGGACTGTTTCCAGGAGAAGGCCAAAGAAGCGTGGTCCGGGGAGAGGCGAAGAAGCAGAGAAAAGAAACCCCCCACCCCTCCCTGGCGACTCAGCGGAATTCCTGCACGGGGAGGAAGGCATCAAGGGCTTCAGGCCGGTGTGGCGGCTGCACAGCTGTAGCTATACCAGCCAAACTTCTAAATTAAATGAGGAGATTGGGGTGGGAGAGCTGTAAATTTGATTGGGGGCGCCACCCCATGCACCCCACTGCTGGCTACAGCCCTGCTTCAGATGTAGCTTTTGAAAATAGCCTCTTAACAATTCCACTAGCTTTTAGGGCAGCTGCCCCACAGCTATGGGGCTTCATCCTCCATGTACATTACCACCAAGCTAAAGTCTCCTATGAAAGCCCATTTTTTTCCCATTTGTGATCACTTTCAGGATTAGGCTTTTACTTGGAAATAAGGCTTTGGCTCGATTTTAACTTTTTATGTTTTCATACTGCAGCCTGTCTAGAGGTCCAGAGCAAAGCCTAGTAAGTGTAAAAAAGTAAGAACATAAGGGAAGCCGTGCTGGATCGGGCCAGTGGCCCATCTAGTTGAACACTCTATGTCACACAGTTGCCAAAACCCAGGTGTCATTAGGAGGTCCACCAGTAGGGCCAGAACCCCAAAAGCTCTCCCACTGTGGCCCCCGAAGTGCCAGGAATACAGAGCATCACTGCCCCAGACACAGTGTTCCATCTATACCTTGTGGCTAGTAGCCACTGATGGACCTCTGCTCCATGTTTATCCAAACCCCTCTTGAAGCTGTCTATGCTTATAGCTGCCAGCACTTCCTGCGGCAGTGAATTCCACATGTTAAGTATGGGAGGGAGGGACTGTGGCTCAGTAGTACAGCATCTGCTGGGCATGCAGAAGGTCCCAAGTTCAATCCCCGGCATCTCCAGTTAAAAGACCTGGCAGTGGGTGATGTGAAAGACCTCTGCCCGAGACCCTGGAGAGCCGCTGCCAGTCTGAATGGACAATACTGACTTTGATGGACCAAGGGTCTGATTCAGTGTAAGGCAATTTCTTGTATATGGTAAGCAGAGCTCTGCTGCACAGACCCTCTAATCAGAGCCACTTCTTTGCCGTCTTTTCCCTCACACTGGATTTCTTTTCATTTACCGAAAACTGTAGGCATTCTCAGGGGTCTTGTTGTAGAAAAAGAGCTGCCGGAGCTCATTAGCATAACTTATTTGCATATGCCACGCCCCCTGACATCACCGGAAGTGACAGAAGGCCACACCCCCTGACATCACCGGAAGTGTGTCAGAAGGCCCGGCTACTTACCCTCCTGCTTCATCCTCATTCCCAAATGGAATGAGGATCGAAGCAGAGGGCGGGGTAAAGAAGGGGGTGGGGCTTCACCACGTGACCGCCCCGCCCCCTAGAGGTTCTCTTCCGGAGCTCCGTACCTGAGAGCCCCCCCCCGACTAGAGCCCTGGGCATTCTACACATTCAAGCCACTTTACAATACATCAGAGCCTTGCAGTTTATGACTCCGGTTGTAAAAACAGTAAAGACGATAAATAGATACAGAAGAACCAGTGTGGTGTACTGGGTAGTGTCAGACTAAGATCTGGGAGGCCTGGATTCGAATCCTTACTGTGCCATGAAAGCTTGCTGGGTGACCTTGGGCCAGGCGCACACACTCAGCCTAACCTACCTCGCAGGGCCGTTGTTCTGAGATAACAATGTCATAAGCCATTTTGGGTTGCCATCGGGAGATAAGTGGGGTACAAATGAATAAATAAATCTAAAAAAAGAAGCATTATTCTATAATCTAAAGGGCTTTTAAGCAAGGCTGCAATGTTTAGTCAATGAATTAGTTTTTAAGTGTTTCTGATGAATCAGGAAGCAATTTTTTAAAATACAAATTATTTTTGATGTAACCACTGGAAAAAAAATCTACAGGTGGTAGACATATTCTTGGAACACAAGCTCCTCATCTCAATTTGGAGGAAGCATTTCTTCCGACAATGTGTCAGCAATGCCATCTAAAAACATAAAAAATATGCTTGTTTCCCTTGAAACACACATGGAAATCTATGCAGATGTAAAAGGAGGAGGGGAGGGGGAGGAGAAGATTGGATTTATACCCCCACCCTTCACTCTGGAGTCTCAGAGCAGCTTACAAACTCCTATCGTGTCCCCACAACAGACACCCTGTGAGATAGGTGGGGCCGAGAGAGCTCTTTCAAGAACTGCTCTTTTCAGAATGGCTCTGACAGAACTATGGCTTGCCCAAAATCATCCAGCAGCTGCAAGTGGAGGAGTGGGGAATCAAACCCGGTTCTCCCAGATTAGAGTCCACGCACGTAACTCCCATATGATTATTCGCCTACGATTTACCAAATCAAATGACAGCCCTGCTTATAAGACGTCACCCCCCTGAAGCTGGGGTTGGGAAGGGCGGAATACATACTGCTGATCTGCTGGCCGATCTTCTCCAGCTGGCTACAAAGGCGGTCGAAGATGGCTTTCTTCACACCGGACGTGGCCACCATTTTGCTCTTATCCACTTTCAGCTTCAAGCACCTGCCAACAAAAAGCCAGGTGATTTTTAAAAAAAGGATGCTAATCATCTTGGGCCCTTTAAGCCCTGTGGGTTGCAGAACTGGGGACAACAGCATGGCAGTAGCACCCGTGTTTTGTACATAGAACATCCAAGGTTCGATCCCCAGCATCTCCACTTAAACAGGGAGCTCAAGAGTTAGGAAAGACCTATTGAAGCTTGAAGACCCACAGGTGCTACCAGTCAGGGTAAACAATGCACAGTTAGATGCGCTTACAGACGGCAGATGTCGGTGTGCATGAATGCCCATCCTTGTGAGAGAGAGGGAAAAAAGCAACAATGGATCCAGATTGTTAATCACAAGGAAACTGGGCCAGGATTCAACTGCAGCAGCTCCATTGTTACTTTTTAAAAATATACAAGATCAGAACTGGAGCAAGATTTGAGTCCAGGGGCACCTTAAAAACCAACAAGATTTCCAGTATAAATGCTTCTGAAATTCTAAGCTCCCAAGAGCTTTGACTCTTGAAAGCTCATACTTTTTAAGGTGCTCATGGACCAACATGGCTAGTAAAGGCAAAGGTTTCCCTTGCTCACTTATTGGTTGTTAAGGTGCTCGTGGACTCCAATCTTGCGACTGGAGACCAACATGGCTAGTAAAGGTAAAGGTTTCCCTTGCTTGAAAGCCCGTCGACTCCGACTCTAGGGTTGCGATACTCATCTCTGTTTCCAAGCCAAAGAGCTAGCGCTGTCCAAAGACTTTTCCGTCGTCATGTGGCTTAACTAAACGCCAAGGCGCACGGAATACTGTTACCTTCCCACTGAAGCGGTACCTCTTTATCTACTTGCAATTTCCCGCTTTCGAACTGCTAGGTTGGCAGGAGCTGGGGCCAGAGACGGGAGCTCACTCCGTCATGCGGCACTAGGGTCTCGAACTGCTGAGCTACCGACCTTCCAGTCTGCAGCTCAGTGTCTTAACCTCTAAGCCACTGAAACGAAGACCAGAACTAGTTTCTAACTCCTTGCGTATGCAGCGTAAAGCATGGCAATGGGCCTTTGGTGTTTCTGGCCTGTTAAATCTTTGTATTATAAGCACAAGATAGAACACCATATAGAAAAATATATGGAAAAGCCAAGGAAGATGGGAAAGCTCATCTTGAAGATCCTTTCGAGGGCGCAAAGAAGCATCGGAAACTTTCCCTTCCTTTTGTCTCCAGTTTTGGGGAAAGACTCCCCCGTGTGGTGAGACTGCAGTTCCTGAACAGTGTCACAAGAGAGGGGTTGGTGTGTTGGGGAAGCTTTGGTGGTTCTGAAGTCAATGAACAACCGGTGCCGACCTGAGACTCAGGGCCAGTCTGTGGCAACAGTCAGAGTGCTGGACTATAACCGGGGAGAATCCAGGTTCAAATCCTTGCCCAGTCTCTGAGTAATTCTGGACGAATTGCTCTGATTATAACAGACTGGACAGGACCTTACGGGAAGACCTTATCAAATCTGATAACATGGATATGGACAGAGATAGGATTCTAATATGACCAGGAGGGATGGAGATGCAGGAAGCACATCTGGCTCTCACAGTAGCAAGATGGAGAAGAGGAAAAGTGTTAGCCGGAAGGAAGAAAGATGCCCTGAAATAGCATCAGAGCACGAGAAAGGAAGGGATGAACAAGTCCTGGACTTATCTATCCCTCTGGCTTTCTACGATCCTCTGAAGTTAGAAGCTAAGAGGCAGCACAAAGTCCTTCACGTCCAACAGATCCCTAAACCAGCCCATTCTGCACCAATACAAAGAGAACCCCTCGGTGTCAGTCCCAACAGGGACAGACGGGAAAGTGGTCAACTTTACCTGCAAGCGGTTAACAGTGCGGCTGTTGTGAATAAGGGTTTGGACAAGTCGAGATCAGTTTGCTGAGATCCAGGCAGACTGGATTCATACCTGAAATGAGAAACCTGCCTTCTGAGACCAAAGCCATTAGGATGTGCCTTCAGCGGTCTAAGCTACATACACCTTTGGCTTAGACGCCTCATTAATTTCAGAACCTTCATTTAGCCCGTCAGGGTCCTTGCTGACCCAGATGCCAAAGACTGAGCTTAGCATCATAAATCTTGAACTCTGAGCTCTCTTGAGAGACAACAATTTGTTTCTCCACACACAGCCAAACATGCAAGAGAACATATAGAATCTGCCACAGCATCTCACCTAGTCTGTTATTCAGCAGAACTAGGGATCTGATACAAAAGCTGTGGAATAAGGTGCTAATCAAAGTAGAATAAGTCTGTAGAATGGTTAACTTGAAATTTATCATTGGTTACCCACCAAAAGATTACTGTTACCTTTGAAAAACTAAGAAATGTATTGAATTCTAAAATTGATCAAAGAGACGAATGAACACAACAAGTGTATTGATATATAAGCATTCCTAAAGAAGACAAACAAAATGAAATGCATATCCGGAACCTTCATTGATCTATTGCATTACCTGCATTTATGTTCTTATTGTGCTTTGTGTATTTATGTAAAATTTGATATACTGTTCACTTACAAGTGTTACTTATTCAAGATTCATGAGCTTCTACTTTGATTAGTGTCTTACTCCACAGCTTTTGTATGGTTTATGTCTAATGCTAGGAAGTCCTTTTTTTTGTGTCCATATGACGGATGATATCATACTTTGTATCTGATTGCACTCATGCATTGAGTGACCATGCATTGAGTGACCATTCTCAGATCATCCTCAAAGAGACAATTTGTGCACTACCTCATATGGCCAAAAGACCAAATCTGACCTTTTCCACTGACTCGACTCTTCACAAACAGTTCCGTTTAAACAATGCATTAAAAAACAAAGAAACGAACCAGTAATCCAACAACTACTACCCAAATCTAAGGATACCTCTTAATAGCAAAAATTGACATACACAACTTTCTTCAACAACCCTTACCTCTGCAATATTTTGGAGGCCACGTTCACGGCCTCCGTGCAGCCAAACTGAACAGCCAAGTCTCGGATGCCGACATTGGAGTGCACGCCAAGCAAGCTTTCGAATGACCTCAAGCAGCTCTGATAAGCAGCCTTGTTCAAACCAGAGAGTTTCACTACGTAGCTCTTGAAAAGAAAGGAAAGCAAATAAATGAACGATACTTCGGTTACTTCCAGGCTTGTGACTGGCAACTAGCTTGATCAACTAGGGTGAATCATAATCTCCTCCAGGTGATCAGACAATGAAGTTTAACAAAAAAGTAGTTCATTTCCCTCCCATCTGGCCTACGATTATTCCTGCGAGACAAGCAATTTAACAACTACTTTGTGTAGGCTCTCAATCTACATAAGGGCAGTCTCCTCCCAAACTGACGATTTATTGCAGGCTGGTTCTCTGGCGTGGCACACCACTCCTGAAACCAGGCTAGGCAGTTTTTTTAAGTGTTAGAAAGAGAATGCAGAACGCGTCAATTCCATAGCTCAGTTATATGCATTCGGCAAACAAATGTGCTTGCCACCAAGACTGTCTCCCCAATTTTTCCACTATCCAAGGCCTAGTAATCTTTTAATGCTAAGAGCAAGATTATCTCATTGATTTTACTGTAATTAACTGTTGTCTATGTCTTTTAATTATTTTTAATAAATTA